AGGCCACGGGCCATCTTTCCAGTTCCAACTCCTAAATTAGCAAGTTTCTGAGAGCAAGCCTCATGCATTAAGGAAATGGCTCTCAAATGTAAGCATGCACCGAAGTCACCTGGGAGGTTTATAAAGCATAGATTGATGGGCCTCAGACTACAGTTTCAGACTCAATAGTCTGGGTTAAGGCTCAGAACTTATGTATCTTTTTTTTTTTTGGAACCGAGGATTGAACTTGGGTCCTTGTGCTTGCGCAGCAGGTGACAAAACCCCTGAGCTAAATCCCTGGCCCTGTATCTTTTTTTTAAAGACCAGGTCTCTCTATGTAGCACAGTCTGGTCTTGAACATGCAATTCTTCTGCCTTAGACTCCCAGGTGCTGGGATAACAGGTGTATGGCATAACACCTAGCTTCAAAATTTGTACTTTTAAAACTATATATTTTTATTATATTTCATTTTTTTCTTAAAAGACATCACCTTTTTTGAAGTATAACTTAAAATAAGTGTGCAGATGGGTGACTATTCCCATGTGTTCACCATATACCACCAAGGTGATGCATTTCCTAGACCAAGGTGATGCTAGAGCATTTCCAGGACCCCCTCTTGCCATCTCCCCATTGACATGGCTTATCTTGCCAGTCCAGGAACTAGACTTTGGGAACCAAACACTGCACTCAGTTGCGAGGATGGGCTGGTTGACTGTTCCATGAAGGAGTTTGCCAAAATTCATTTCTGGCATTAGGAGCTGGGCTGAGATTATAGCTTCTGAATACATGGTTTGCCCTTAGCAGGTTGAAGTGCACTTGATTTTACTAATTATGGTAGATTCTATTCTGCCTCAGGAAACAGAAGCTTGGAAACAGTTCCTTCCTAATCTTTTATATAAAAGCAAGTAAAACAACTTTGAAACATAGTGAGCTTATACCACTGCTACTCCTTGAAAATATCTATTCAAGCCTCAGGAAGATCTGTGGCTGTAAAGAAAATCAAACTCAAACAAACAAACAAACAAACAAAAATCCCAAAACCCAAAAGACTGTTGGGTTTGAATTTTCACTACAAAGCTAGGTAATGAAGTTAGTGTAGTTCTGAATGACAGCATTTCCTCTCAAGTTAGGAATGAGGTGAGGATGTCCACTGTCACCACTCTTAACTCCATGCATTTTATTTTTATTTTATTTATTTTTTTGGTACCAGGGATCGAACTCGGGTCCTTGCTCTTGCACAGCAGGCGGTGAAACTACTGAGCTAAATCCCCGGCCCGTATCCACATTTTTATGCAGAACCATGTTTTCAGTTCTCTTGGGCATATCCCTAGGAGTAGAACTGCTGGGTGATGTGGTAATTCTATATTTAACCTTTTTATTTTTTTGGTACCAGGGATCGAACTCAGGGTCTTGCAAGAAGCAAGGCAGGCGCAGTACCACTGAGCTAAATCCCCAGCTCATATTTAACATTTTGATGAACTGCTGAACTGTTTTCCAGTGTCTAGATTATTTAATTTCCCATCATCAGGGTATGAGTGTTCTCATTTCTCCACATCTTCACCAAAACTTAGTATCTGGTTTTTTTATTATAACCATCATTGTGGGTATAAAGTGGTATAGAAGTTGATCAATTATGGTTTTGGTTTGCATAATGATCTTTAGCATTTTTTCATGTGTTTATTGGCTACTCATACATCTTCTTTGTAAAATAAAAAAGTGCTTAATCCTTTGGACAAATCTTGCCCCCTCTTTTTGGCTTCCCCAAACTGGATTTTGAACCACAAAGCCTCACACGTGCTAGGCAAGTGATATGCCCCAGTCCCCCCCCCCCCCCGCCATCTTTTTAGCTTTGAGACATGGTTTGGCTAAGTTGACCAGGCTGACCTCAAACTTTCCGTCCTCTTCCCTCAGCCTCCCTAATTTCTAGGATTATAGGCATATGTGTGCTACCGTGCCTGGCTCCTTTGTCCATTTTCATTGCATTATTTGTTTTTTCATTGTTGAGTTGCAAGAGTTTTTTATATATTGAGAATACAAGTCCCTTATGATTTTGAAAACATCTTCTCTTTTTAATAGTTTAGCTCTTACATAGGTCTGTGTTCCATTTTGTGTAAATTGTAGGTCTAATTTCATTATTTTTGCATGTAGCTATCTAGTTGTCCAACAATACAAAATGGGGCCGAGGATTTAGCTCAGTGGTTCCGGCGCCTGCCTCACAAGCACAAGGTCCCGAGTTCAACACATGTTGGTGAGGGTGCTTGTACACTATTGTTAAGAATGTTAATTAGTACACCCACTGTGGAGGCTCCTCAAAAAATAGAGCTACACCACCCCTTGGTATATATTTGAAGTAATTAAAGGCACCACACCATAGGGACACCTGCATACCCATGTTTATTGCAGCACAGTTCATAATAGGCAAGATATGGAACCAGCCTAGATACCCATCAAGTCATGAGCAGGTATATACACAATGGAGAATGTAGTGTATATACACAATGGAGAATTATTCAGCTATGAAGAAGAATGAAATTCTGTCATTTACAAGAAAATGGAAGACCTGGAGGCTATCCTATTGAGAAAAATAAGGCAGACTCAGAAAGACAAGTATTGTATGTTCTCCCTAATATGTGAAATCTAAAAAAGATGACAAGTAGAAGGGAGACTTATTAGAGAAGGGGAAGGGACTAAGAGAGAGGGGTTGGGGTGTGAGGGCAAGTAATAGGGGGATAGATATGAGTAAAATGTATACATCAATAAAACTGAGGGGGTACGGCAGAAAAGAGGGTGGGGTGTGAGAGTGATCAAACTATGTTACATGCATGTAGAAATCTGCCAAAATGAAACCCATAATCTGCATGACCAGTAAAAACAGTGGAAAAAAAAAGGAGGAAGTGCTATCAAAAGGCAACAATAGGGCTGGGGATTTAGCTCAGTGGTTCTGCTGCCTGCCCTGCAAGCACAAGGACCCGAGTTCGATCCCCAGTACCAAAAAAAAAAAAAAG